CAAACTACAACCTTTCCATAGACACCCCACTTGACCTCCTCTATATAAGATCTGGTGCAACCATAGGACCCTGGTTGCAACAATAATCAATACGGTCACAGTTCATGTCAATAACATCACAGTGGGGTTACTGCATCATCATAACATGGCATTTACATCAGTGGGAGACAAATTTAAGTATGGACACAAGCACAACAAGCAAGGTGGCTTACATCAGCCTGATTTTGGAGTGTAGTCCTGGCCAGAGGTTTCCACCTGAAACTAATTTTCCTTTAAACAGCCAGAATTCCTATTTTATTATAATGCCTTCTTAACATTATTCTCCTCCACATTAAATATGAACTATTATCAGAGTATTGCTGAGCTGTCACATATACCAGAATTATCCACATTTCTGGACAAATTTTAGGGGGGAAAAAGTCATACTGTGATTAAAGAAAAATACTAATAGTAAAGGGTAGAAAGCCAAGGAGAGTTAGAAGATATATAGGGGGGTGGAGGAGAGAATGGGAAATTTAATTTGTGATTTATTTTTTTGTAGTCTAGAAACAGCTTCTAAATTTCATGGTAACTTTCCTGTATTTGTTTTATCATCTGAATATTAACCTTTCACATGATGCTACTGTTAATGCTGTGGTTAAGAATTTTATTGTTGGTTTGTTTTTCCAGCATCTAATTTGTTTCATCAATCCTTCTTTTCCTTCTGCTATTTGCTCTGTCATATCTCCCGGTGCACATAAGGATACTATCATGTTTTTTTTCTTATGTGGAAAGAGTGAAGTCAGTGGTTAGAATACGTAACATCTTTTTATTATTCTATAATCTTGTTCAGTATCCTGAAGTATATTAGATTCAAACTTGCTTCTTATACAGCTCATTCATTTTCATTTTCCCACAGATGCACTGAGGTAAAATTCAAGTAGGTTTATGGGGTGGTATTTTCTCCAGTTTGGATTTGTTTTTGTTTGATTTCCTGAAAGGACTTGTTTTGGACATTTTTAGAAGTCATTCATGGTGCACTCTAGCTTTCATTTCTTGGTGGTTGTGTTTTCCCCCTAGCTGCAGGAAAGTCATATTTTATCATTTATATAAAAGTGTGTATGGTAGTTTTGGTGTTCCTCTGTTTATCCATGTAGTCCAGTCAAAGTACAATGTGTTACTGTATACACACATGTACATTTTTACTCAACTGTAGTGCATCTAAATTTTTCTGTACTTTAACATATATTACTGGGCTATATCAGTTTCAATGTTGATATATGAACCAACTTCCCTTGTTTCTCTGTTTATTCTCAGGTTAATATGCCACTTCTTTCTGCCTGGATCAAGGCAGATGTAGAGATAAGCCTGAGCCAGAGGCTTTGGATCTAGATTTCACCAACATTGGGAGGGTTGGATCTGATCTCCAGTTAAAAGCCATTTAATAGAGTCTTTAAGTTTTGATAGTTTTTAATTTTCTGTTGTGAAGATGTGGACAGTTTTTTGTGGACCTGATTCACCTTTATCCTGAATCTTGTACATCCATTTACCCCCCGACAATCTTTTACAGGTATGTTTTTATAAGTTTTTCTGTGTTTTTTGTTCAGAGTTAAATTATAGCAAAGACTTATTTCACCCTGTTCTGCAAAAGGCTAAGTACACTAGTCAGTGGGCCTGATCCTGCACCATTTGAAGGCAACAAACTCCCATTGATATTACTGCATGTGGGACTCAGCTTTGTGGGAGCTGAAGGTACTCTGCTCCTCACACAACTGGCTTCACTAATACAATTGAATGGAACTATTTACCGACTACAATGGCCCACTTCCCCTTTCAGTTTTCTGTCTCTGAGGTACCAAGATTGGCTCACAATGCCATAGGACTACACGTCCATAGTTCAGTGTGTAATCTACTACCTACATCTTACTAATATACATTGTTCAGTGCAGTGACATCCAGTGGGGATGTCATGTGACTGGTGACATAGTGTAAATGGGAAGAGCTCAGTTGCTAATGATGTAGTCAGACAACAAAGCTCTTTCCACTAATCCTCCTTTTCCTTGGGGATCGCAACACTTTTTAAAATGGAAAAGTCAAAAACCAAAATTGCTTGCTCCAAGCTTCCCCCTCTGAATAAACAGAAGAGCCAATTCATATATTTAGCTTCATTTTATTATACGTAAAATTTAAGTCATAGAAACTGGTTTATTTTTGCATGAGATTGAGTAATTGAGGTAATCTGTAGGTTCAAATATTTAAATTTTGTTGAAACTTCAATTTAGGTTGAGACTTTCTGATTCCAGGTGTATAATCTCATTACTAGCAGCTTTAAAGGGAAACTACAGTGTAGTATAAAATATCCTAACCACAATCTCTGATTACAAAGAAGAGGAAATCATTAACACATTCTTGTGAACTGTATCAAATAGGAAGTCACCCTCATTATAGTCTGACAACATAGTTTCAGCTACAGAATAGAAACTCAGTATCAAGGTATAATAAAGCAAGAGATTTTCAAATTTACACGTACATTCTATTTTTAAACAGCATTTTAAATTTTGGGGAGTTAAATTTCCACTATTTAATTAAAAAAACCATCTTGTACATCTCCTGTCCTTAATAATTCAGCACCATCTCATCATTATGAATTACTGTGATTGACATGAGACTGGTACAGCTTAATAAGTCTGAATTTGCTAGGGGATTCTGGGATCACGGTTCCCTTAGCATCAGACAGGTGGTGTGGAAAGTTACTGAGTGAGAGTGCTGAACTTGCATTTGGTTGCTGACACAACTACGTACTTTGGATGTTTAATCGGGGCTCTGTGTATTTGTGCTGATCTGGAAGAACTGTCATGGGCAGTCAATGGTCAGACCACCGAGAAAACACGCTGAAAACATAGATGGTGGACTTGGTACTAACTCACTTGGGTCAACTGATTCCTTGGGACAGCACAACAAAGAGTTGTGGTGAATGATTGATGAAAAGGTAAAGGTCAGTTGGCCTTCAGTCTGTCCCTGTAGTCCCTTCCAAAAATATTAAGCAGAAAAAAAAAAAACACAAAGTTATGAAATGCCAATACAGCATATTTGGGGGACATGTGACTCCTTGGAGATAAGGGTATAAGTACTGGGGAATAATCATACGTGCCACTGCCACCCAAGTACTATCTGAGGAGGCTTGTGATGCTGTAGGACTGCCACTATAGCCAACACCCTACTGTGAGGGACTTTTAAAGAGACTTTTGGATCACAAGGGTTTCAGGGTAGCCAACACCCTGCCCCAGGGACACTTGACAGACAAAGTGCTTGAGAAGAAAAGGAAAAGAAGTCTCCATCTAGAACTGGTAGCTATACCTGCTTTATTTGCCAATCAGGATAATGCGTAGGGCCAACGTAGTTACTAAGAGTTTATGCTTGGGGAATTGAGGCTTATTAGGAAGAAGCGGTGTATAACCTTTTTGCTGCTTGTCTGATTCTTTCAAATAAGTAGCTTTACATTGAAGGAAACTTAAGTCTGGGTTTTCACTGGCACTAATACTGTAAATTCTTCCCAGCTGTGGGCCAATAAAAGACCCAGCTCTATATGGTCAAATGACGAGCTGTATTTCCCATGTCTATGCAGGGAAATTTACTGACAGAACTATACCAGTATAGTTATATACTTGTGTGTATAATATATAGTTATATTAGTATAATTTCCCACATGGACACTTATTCTGTAATAAGAGTGTTCATGCAGGGACTTATATTGGTGTAACTATAGTGATATAGTTCTGCAGGTAAATTTCCCCATTTAGACGAGTCCCGAGTCATCCTACTGGACTTCCTGCTCAGAAGTAGCAGTAAAACCATGGCTCGAATCAAGAGACAATAGCACCACTCAATTATGGAGACATGGAAACAGTGGTAGGTATTTCAAGAAGCTGATTTGCAAGTGCATTTCACAGATCCATTTTTGCTACATAACTTCTACATCGGTATAAAGTATTAGAACTAATCACTACAGTTTTAAGAACCCAGCAGAAGCTGTAGGCCATTGCTCTCTATTGCCCTATACTGTTGATATCATAAGAAACTGCAGCTATACAATAATTATAAGAGTCACTCATATACAAAGGTCAGGATTACAGACCCTCTGAGTAATGATTGGGGACAGTGTGCTGTAGATAAAACAGATCAAGTATCTATACAAACAGGCTTAATGTAAGAATTATTTAACATGAAAACAATCCATTGATCAGTTATCACTTCCCCTGATTTAGAATCTATAATTTAGATTTAGAATCTAACCTGCCCTGCTCTGGGGGGGAAAAAACAAATCGAACAGAAGAAAAAAAGTAGAGGAACACTTTTCATACAAGACTGTCTGAAAGTCCAATAAATGTCATATTCCAGGCTGGTACATTATAAAGAGAAGAATGTTAAACAGGCTTTGGTAATTATCATTGGAGAGTAGGATCCCATTTAGTTTGCACCAAATCCAAACAGGACAAATGTTTCTCATCTCTCCAGGATACAGTTTAGAGCCAACTCAAGCACAAATTGTGGAGTTTTATAGATAACTTTACAGCGGAATTGTTGTAACAGATCAACGAGTAAAGCCTGTGAAGCTAGCAACAGGAAAGATATAGCCACAAAGTGAGGATACAAGAAAGGAGGAAGAAATGTCTGTCTTCTGAGTTATTAGCTGCGCTATTCTAGGATATCCCCCTTTTTTGTTCAGTAATCATCTCAGTGAATTACAAATTTTTTTTTTTAACTGGAATGACTGTTTTGCTACACGATGGGAAACCACGTAGATAAAAACAAGATTTAAGTCCAGCATGCACGAAGTTGCAGGACACTTCACTCCTGTCGATAACAAATGCAATTCTATCCTCTGGATGTCCATAGCTCTTTCCCTTGCTGACCAAAAACTGGCAATTTCCTCACCCTACCCTTTTATTACTGCCACTGAATGCAGCTCCATCAGTCCTTGGACAGCTGCTTCGCATGGTTGGAGTGCATTTCATTGTTCTGCTGCTGGAGACTCTTCCCCAGTTTCTTGCTTCTCTATATGGGACTCTGGGGGAATCAGGTACTGTACCTCTTCAGTACTGATTGCCACTTTATCAGGCTGCAGCCACCGCTTTAAATGTTCCAGGGTGCTGAGGGAAAGCAGAAGTAAGAAGTTAAATATAAGGTAGCAGTAAAAGCCAGTACAGAATTATAAAATGTGGTGGTGTTAACCCTCCATAGGCCTTTCTTCCATTTTATAGGCTCTCCTATGGCTACACGAAGGATCTATTAACAGACTAATCTGTGTGCCAGAGAAGAAACAAGAATCCACTGTGCTCAAGAAGATGACTGTTTGTTTGGTTCCTGACATCCCCACATGATGATTTAATGGCATCTGTAACACAAGTCAGGACGTTGTCTCTAAGGGACTGCAGTTCAAAGTATAGGAAACAGCATCTTTCATGAGACGGAACTAGGACCATTGTTCTATAAGCCCGAACAATTTCTGTTTCCTTTATCTGACCTACCTAATGAGGATGCTAATATTTAGCACTTATATAAAACTTTATTTTCAAGGGAGAGAGCTTACAAGAGCACTACAGGCTAAGCATAGAAACAGGAGCCAGGAACTCAAGAGTTCTAATCTGAGCTCTGACACCAACTCCGGCCCGGACCTGATCTTGCAAGAAGCTCCTCACAGGTCTCTCTCTTGCTGGAACAGTGTGGACTTCAGTGGGGCTCTGCACAGATTCAGGAGCTGGCCTGGATAGAGCTTCTCACCCTAGGCTTAGGCCTAAATTTTTAGATCTTTCCTAACTGAGACATATTCAGCCATATTTTCAGCAAGCCTGAGAACCCACCATTCTAAATAAAGCAATTGAAGCCACAGCACCTATGAAAAGCAGGTCCAATGTGTGTCAAGTTGGACACGCCAAAATTAAGGCACCCCAAATTAGTGGACTTTTGAAAATTCAGGCCTTAACCTCTTTGCCACAGTCATCCTATGTATAAAATGGGACTAGGACTACTTTCCTGTCTTGCTGAAATGCTGTAGTAATATCCGTGACTTGCTCGGAAGAGGCCAAGTGTTAAGTATCAATATTACTGTAATGCTATAATTCCCTACCCTACACTCCACTAGAATTCTCCAACAATTTTACTTTTTTAAAGAAAGCTCTGCTCTATTTGCTAACGGTAACCCCTGAATCAGTCTGACTGGCCTTTCCTCATCATGCTTGTTACCTCTCTTCAGATTCATGTCCCTCCACATAAAATTCAGATTCAAACTTTTCCTGCAGGAACCTATCCCAGCATTCCTTCTTTGCTTGGGCAAGAGTATGCAGCATATCCTTGGAGGTCACTTCCTGAGACAAACCCTTAATTCTCATCAGTCTTCTCTCTGGGGGGAAGAAAAAGAAGTTTTATTGAAGAGAGAGAAAAACAGGTGGTTATGGCGAGAGAGCTTAAATCCAAAGGGTTAGATTAACTCTGCATCATTAAATGATATTTAAAAGTTAACCATTTTACTACTACTTGAAATCTGGATGAGTGCAGTCTTTTGTTTAAATCAATAGGGTTGTTGTATTTTTTTTTAATTCTATTATTGTGGATTTCTTCTTTATTTGGCTCAAGTATTAACTTGTACTCACTGTAGTTTTGACAGAGAACAGTGTCATAGGAAGGAGTCAAATTGGGCCAGCTTGTGGTGGCATAACAGGCCAGTATTTCTTTTTGGAGGCTGTCATCTTGTGCTCCAGACTCTAAGTTGTCGTTTTTAAGACAAGTCTCTAGCCCTTTTGGTTGCAAAGACTGAAACCTCGCAATTCTGCACACAGGCTGAAACAATAGTTGTGAGGTACAAAGTGTTCCTATTAGTTGCAACAGGGTACTGACTCCAAAGCCTAGTCATAAGAATTTAAGTGCCAGCATTAATTATTTAACAACTGATCAAAGCACAAGAGAAGAACTGATGTCAGGATGCGTACAGTGTGCAAGAAAGAAGAGGGATGATCACATTATGAAGATCTGCAGAACTCCTGTGAGTGACTTCTTTTTTTGATCTCTCGAGTGTGCAGGACTTAGGAAAGTACCACTGGTATTTGTTTTGAGTTTTTCTCCCCCAAGCTGGACATAGGTCACGGATCAATAGTAAACTGCATTTCTCTCCATAAGCACACAACATATTTGATAGAATGATTAGAAGTGTCTCAAAGGGTTTCACAACGCAACACATTAGATACAGGCAATACAGACATAGTAGTCATTATGAGTTCAGAACATATTCCCCATTCATAGTTTCCACTGCATTTAACTATTTTCTTTAGAGGAAGAACAGTGGTTAACTCTGAATTATTTTTGAAAGACTGTGTGGGATCTTTAATTCACCCACAGAAATACCCAGAAATGTGTAGAAAGGGCCTCAGTTTTACCAGCCCAGCTGAAGCTCAACTAAGTTAATTTTGCAGCTCCTCCGATTGCCAGTACTTCAGTGCACTATCAACATTGGGTACAAGTCAAATCCTCATGTGGAGCTTGAGTCTACAGACTTTTAATTCAGAGGGAGGAGTGTCATCCCCTGAGTTACAATTACACTAACAGAGATACAGAAGCCATCACCATTCTCTAAACTTACTTTCTGACTGAAGCAAACTCAGAAATCAGAATTTTACCCTATACTCACCTAGTGATGCTAAATATATCTCTGAATCTTTCAGAGGTGCCCAGGGCTTCAGGTTTGCTTGGAAAGAACCACCTGGTTCTTCATCCTGGCTTTCTCCACTGATGTAAGAATCTGTGAAGGAATCTGTAAAAGTATCACTAAAGTCATCTTTCTGGTCTGGATCTGGCAGACAGGAACAGATTTCAGCCCAGAGGTCCTGGCTTGACCTAGTCACTACAGAGTCAACATTCTCAATCATTTTCATGATGCAGAATTCCTGAAAAAAAATACATATGACGAATTGTAAGCATCAACTGTAAAACAATGTTTACATCTACACATGATTCTTTCCCTACCCTTAAGGCTAAATAAAGGGAAAGTTTCTAGATTTTTAGAAAGCTCCTTTCAGAAAATCACAAAGTCTAGTTTCTCACTTTCCATAAAGGGAAATTTGTACTAATAGATTGTATTTGTATACGGGATTATGTGATCTATTACTGTATGAGTCATAATAGAATGATTCAGAAAAGCTTGCACCTCAGTCAATTTAAAATAATCTCCAGTTTACACTATCTTTTGTAAACAGCCACCCTCATTTTGATGGGTCCATCCTGTGACTTACAGGCCATTCAGCTAAGCCTGAAATTTTCAAACCAAACACTACTTCATAATGCAGCAATTCTGCAGCAGTGAATAAAGTCTAAGGTTTGCCAGAGCCTATTCACATGGGCAAAAAAGGCATGATTACAAAAACCTTGTTGCTCAGGTTATGTAAACCCCCAAAAGACAAGTGTGGTTGAGCTCCAGGTTCCATTTTTATGCACATCCCCATTCAGGGAGAGGCTAGGGCTGGGTAAATAACTGGGGGGAGGCTGCCCATCTTCCATGCAGAGCACATTCTTTGCCTCAGGGGGCATAGGCCAAGCATGAAATCTCAGCAGGGTCAAGTCCAAAGGATGGTGGCGATGCTAATGCCCTCATCATGGAGGCCCTTCAGCCTCGGGGGAGCTGCTACTGCCTCTGTGGGGAACACCCTCCCAGACCTTTCCCCAGCTGAAGCCAGAGGTGCGCTGACGGCCCCTCCCAAGCACAGAGACAGCAGCGACACCCCAGTACCGGCAGAGCCCAAGAACCCACCTACCTGAGTCCCTCACTGCTGCCCCCTCTTACCTCCAGGGTAGGACGAATGGGGACGTACTGAGATTTCACTGACGTCTAGCCTGACCAATCAGCGAATGGAATGGCAGCACCGCAGTGCCAGCTATTGGCTACAGGAAAGTGCCAATTATTCTTCCTCCTGGAGAGAGGGGGCGGGGAATGTAGCGTGACGCCACCTTGAAACCGGGCGGAAGTTGTCCTCATAACAAACGGAGCGCGGAGGGCAGTCGTTGTTATTCATAGTAGAGGGGGGCGTGAAAGTGGGTCTGTGCGGTATGAGGGCTCGGAGGAGGCCCTAGTGCGCCTGCGCAGGTGAGGCTGATGCTCCCGGACCCACTCCACTTCCGCAGGGGCAGCGCGGGGTCCTAGTCAGGTGTGCTAGGGAAGGATGTAGCGTTGTCCGTGCCCCCGCCCCCGGCCTAAGTGGCCGTTCCCCGCGGGCTCTGTGGGCACCGGAGTCCGCTGGGCGAGTGGGAGCTGCGTTCTCGGCCTGGTGGGGTGGGCGGGGCTGGGCTGGGCCCAACTGCCCGCCTCGACCCGAGCCCGGGCGGCGCCCTCAGCCTCCTTCGCCCAGCGCTGGGGCGCCCAGCCAGTCCGGGGCGAGGGCTGCCACCGCCGGTTCCCGCAGGCTCGAGCGGTGCGAGGGTTTGTTTCGTTTGCCTCCGATTTCAACTCGCTGGCACTTGAGTCAGAGGCTTAATTTTACAAACCCTGGTTAGTCGCTGTCTGCTGAGCGCACCGCCTGGGACCCGCCCCACACTGCGCGCCCGCTCCTGGGTGCAAGTGCGGAGGGAGGGAGGCAGGAAGAGAGCTGGAAACTGTCCAGCCCTCTCGGGGCCGTGCACGTTCCCTTTGCTAGTGGGACACACGTGTTGTTTTCCAACGGGATGTTGTTATACCCGAGTGACGTGTTGCTTTGCCCTTTGCACGTGCTAATCGCAGGTGGTGGGTGGACCAAAACTCTTCAGATGAGTCAAGGGGCAGGAGCTTTAACACAGCAGAGAGCCGCATTTGTAGCTTGACTTGGTATTTGAATAGTGAATTTTTAAAAGGTCCTTGCATAGCTAACTGTTATACTAGAACCTCAGACTTAAACATCTCCGGAATGGAGGTTGTTCATAACTCTGAAA